CAGACATCGACAAAACCGTCTCACTCGTGAGGCAGATGAATCAGATGCGCTGGACGGTACTCTTTGACCGCGAATTATCTTCGCACGAGGTCATCTTCGACAGCGCGTCGATTATTGCCTGGGTTAATACAGACGAGAGACTAATTATTAATTGGGACCACGAAACAAGATTGGATACCTCGATTCAAGATCGAAGTATATCTACCCCATGGGATGACGATGGGGGATTCCTTTGCTTCCGTTACCACTGGGTGAGGACGGGTTTCGCCAACTGCCCCGTCTGTAATTGCCCAATCCGATAGAAATATAGGGTCTCACATGATTACATGACCCAGACATGGAAGTACAAAACTATCCCACAATGCCTTGAGGCACATGGTATTTGGATAATGGTGGAGGACGAAGGATCTCTGTCATGGGATCGTCGCGTATACATGGAGGCGCGGATAAGGAGACAAGGGAGAGCTTCTGCTAACGTTGCGAAGAATGTCGCCAACAACAATCAGCAGGAGCGACAATGGGAAACCAGCTTTGCCACAATGGCGGCTGCTGGCACAATATTTGGCAACAGCCAGCAGGGAAATTTTCCAGCTTGGATCCCAGAGAACGCCGAGGCTCAGCCTCCGGCGCGACATGCTCCTTTCTTTGAATACTTAAGGCCTTTGGTCAAGAGATTTCATATCGCGGCTAGAATACTCGGCCACAAATGCACACAGGCGAACCCCGCCTATCAACAAATGGTGGCCAAAATTATGGGCGACAGGTTTTGATCAGCACGCTCGCCCCAGAACCTGCCCAGCACTACAAGCATTTTACTGGCCTGATGAACCAGATGACTTGATCACACCTAGGATTGGCTGGGCACAATGGTTCGCCAACATGAGGAGAGCAAACCTCTTTGTTCCTACACTTGCCACAGTAGATGATGCCATAAGTTTTGACATGTCCTGGTTCGGCGTGCTTCCTGAAGGTACTGGAAACAACGCCAACAACGACAACCCTCCTGCGAGGTTACCGGTCGCCTGGGAGAACACTTTTAGAGCGCGACCGACTCGCAGTTCTCACTCCGTTGCAAGACGGGTCAGCATGTGTCGAGACCATCGTCTCATAGTTCCCGCGTTGCGACATGCCTCCGGCTCAGCCGCGAGGGCGCGTGAACAGACACAAATGGATCTGGGCCTCAAAGTGATCAGCGAGCCTAAGGCTGCGTCGATAACTGACGGAATCCTCGCACTTGATGCACCTGAGGGACACGTATACTTTCATCATGAGGACCGTCTAATTAAAATAAGATTGTTCGGGGATGATGTTCGAGAAGTTGCCGCTCATTACATAATTTAACACACGGGAATAAACCCTAGTACACCCGGCAGGGTTGCCCTGACTGGAACGGCAGACTATGCGACCCCGGCGATCATCAAGAAAATAGTGGATGACAATTGGTTAGTACCAACACAAAACATGGAACTGGGCCTTAGACCCATAAGGATGTTCGCAAGTATTCGTGATATAATCAGCTATTTCATATCGGAGGACCATTTCATTAGTTACCCGGGGCGAATCATTCGTCCCGACATGATGAGCACGGATCAAATCGAATCACAGAAACGAACCGACGCATATGCTTTGGATTGTCGAATTCGTGCAGCTGTTGAGACAGACGACATCATAGAAACATGGGCCCACAAGATGGGCAGGAAAGTACAGAACGACGTCCGTCACCATGGTGATATAATTCAAGAGGCCATAACATAACTTGGGTACAGGATAAGTATCCTGACCCCAGTACCGATCTTCAGGACAAGGAAGATGGTCCTTTCCGCACTGCATGCGGTCTAGAATGTGTCGCTGCAGCAACTGCTGCCAGAAGTATATTGCAATTCATGAGCGGCAGGGGTAAAGACCCTGAGCGCGACGGCGAAGCCGAGATCGTGGGGCTACGTGTGCCTGCTGGACCAAAGGCAAGACCTTTGTCTCGCACGCCGCCTCTTCGACCTGGCATCTCAGATGCTCAGGCGTCTGAGGAGTCTACTGGTTCCCCGCGTTCTGTCGCCGGCTCAGCCGCGCCGACCAGAGACGCTAACTTACAAGATCCCAACACGAGGGATCGGTCGGATTTGCGACGCGCGCGCGATGCAGCCATGGGCGATGCCTCTGCCGCGGCCGCCGATGACGCCGCCGGCCTTGTGCTGCCCGCGGCGGCGAACGCTGCCGCAGGCGCCGCTTCGGATGCTGCCAGCAGCGCCGCAGGACACGGCTCCACATGCGACCCCGACCAGTCCTACCCGACCCACGCGAATGGAATCCTTGTTGGATATCACTTCCATCGGAACAGGATCACGTGGCTTACTAACGATGAATGGTACAATTTGCCTTGCTGGACCTGGCTGTCAAAGTGGGAGCATGATCATCATCTCCCGCCGAGAGAGGCGGCACAGGTTGGAAATACTGACAGAGAGAGAGAGGGCGATCTCGCACGCCTCGTGGCATGGACGTACAGACGGGAGGATCGGCGACTTCAAACCCGCCGCCTCCGGCGCCGCCCAGGCGAGAGAGTTCGCGGAATCCGTGGGGGAACCTCAACGGAGCGCGGCCCGCGTGACTCCGCCCGCGGCATGCGCGCACCAAACACTTTACCCACGCGCTAAGCGTGCTGGGCGCGGACCTCTCCACTGGTCGGCTAAGCCGGTCCAGCGGGGAGAAACTATTTATAACCATGGTGGGAAACGTCGAGCCTCTTCGGCCCTTGGCCCCCTGGCAGCCACCGTTGAGCCGTAAAAGCTTTTTTCGGGTTCGCTCCGGTGGTTGTGCAAATGCACAGGCCGGGGGTGATGTGGCTGGATGGGCTCTACGCGGCCCGCCGCGGGGGGAGTGAATATGCTCCTCTCCGCCTCATGCTCAATTAGAACTTAACTTAATTTGCATGCAATGAGCTGTCCGCGTGAACTGATGCTGCGCTTATGCAGCTGTATAACTGCTCAAACCAGCCGGCCTCGGCTGGCAGGAGAGAAAAGGAGCGCGCTGGGGCGCGCGGGCGATTCGTCGTCGTCCGTCCTCGGCCTTCCTCCTCCCTTCCTAGTCCTGATAGAGTGGTTTAGCTTAACGGATATCTGTCTTATCAATGTCTCATCCCGCCTCCGCTCTCCCTGAGCAGAGTGAACATGATATCTTAATTCCTTTTGTCATCTTACCCCGATTCTCAGAGGAAAGACTGATGAGCAGCATCTGCAAATACCAAACACGTAGATGGAAATAAGCATGAGTCATGATCGACAGAGTACGCAGGACATCAGTGAGATGGTCTATCGACTGAAGTGTGCGGACGGCAGCAGGTGGTGGCACTGCGACTCTGCAGTCCCTGCTGAGGGCAGAGTGATATCCTCCTACTGCTGGCTTTCGGATTCGCCCCCCCCCACCCCCCACCCCCCCAACGCGCTTAATGTTAATACCATCCCCCTCCTCCTTCTCTCGCTCTCCTCTTCCCGCTCCCCACTCGATGACCACTTGCTCCCCTCGCCGCCTCTTCCTCCTCCTTCTCCTTTCGAAATTGTCCTCCACTCGTTATCCCCCTGCTCTCCTCCGTGCTTCCTCAGCTACGCTGCGCAGCGCCAGAGAGCGGCGATCCTTGCACCTCTGTCCGCGCGCCCCCGAGGTGTGCCGAGGCCATGCTGGCGCTCGGCCCGCAGTCTGCGCTGGGGAGGGGGTGGCGGATCTCTGAGTGGCATGTGGGAGGCTATATGGAACCAACCTGGGCTATCATGCACTATCATCGAGGCCATCTTTTGAGATACAAGGAATGACATACTCATAACACACTCGTAGGTCCTCCCTGATTTCTCGGATCGGCGCTGGATCCCCTCTTTGGCGCGCGGAGCACGCCAGTGGCGGCGCTGGAGTCGCCGCCACGGAGGCCCAGCGCCGATCCGACAAATCTTCGCGGAACTCAGAGTTTGTATGTTTATGTCATGGCGTGTGTCCCTAATATTGGGATGTCTCGGGTCATTTTGGAGCCATCTTCCACCTTGGGACATGAGAAAGAGCGCGTTCTGTGGTCGCTTGGAGGGGGGGGCTGGGGTTTGGAACCGGACCCCCCCCCTTTCCCCTGGAAGGGGGGGGGGGGGTTCGACCCCCCCCGCCCCCCCCCCCCCCCTCTCCCGTGACGGAGGGGGGCGGGTTCGAACCTTTCCCCCACCCCCCCTTCCCCTACTTCTCCTCTCTCCCTCTCCTCGGGCCGGCGCCGCCGTCGGCGGCGGCTGGCGGCGGCAGCGGGGGTGCTGGTGGTGGTGGTAGTGGCGGTGGTGGTGGTGGTGAGGTGGCTTGTTGTGGTTGTGGTGGTGGTGGTGCTGGGCTGTGCTGCTGGTAGTAGTGGTGGTAGTGTGGTGGTGGTGGTGTGGTAGATTGTGGTGATGGTGGTGGTAGTGCTGGTGGGTTGTTGTATTGGTGGTGGTGGTGGTGGTGAGCTGTTGTGGTGGTGGTGGTGGTGGCGGTGGTGATGGCGGCGGTTGTGGTGGTTTGGTGGTGTGATGGTTTGGTGGTGGTGGTCGCGGGTTGAAGGTGGTGGTGGTGGTGGCGTGGTGGTTTGTGGTGGTGTTGGTGGTGGTCCGGCCCGCTGGCATCAGGACCTGCGCCGACCATAGCATTTGGAGAAAGTGCACCCTTTGGCAGTGCCAGTACAAGCATGGCCACAACAGGAGGATGAGGGCGTGGCTTATACAGATTGGCCAATTATCCGATGACTTACACCGCCATCCTTTCTCACGCCCTGCCGCCGCTGGCGGAGCGGAGCGTGGAGAGCACGCGCGCTGGAGTCAGCTCTTCGGGGCGTGCAATGACGTCCGTGCACGCGCCGACGGCGCGCGCTCGGCTGCGCGAGCCCACGCACACTGCGATGCTGCAGTCCCCAGGGTCTTTCCATTCGCTTTGCCGCTAGAACTACAGGAAGCCCAAGTTGTTCGGTTGCGTTCTGCAGAACAGGCACACAACCTCCGAGCTTTGAGCGAATGTCAGATCGAGAGAAGCTCCGTGCCATCTACATGTTCGATATCGGTTCAAAGTACCAGACCATGGACCCCCAGAAAGACAGCTGGCGGATTTGGAAGGATGGAATTGACTCCATGAAGGTGAGGTTGCCCATTTCGTATCAGAGCCCGTCATCTGAGATCAAGCATGCGGTCCAGTTCAGCAAGGGTCTTTTCGGGCAGCACGAGTACTACAGTCTCCCTATGGAGCTGTGCGGTGTCATGACTTCGCCAGACGCGGAGGTCGCTGAGTTTGGAGATCCGAAGGAGTCCAATCATATTCTCGGCGTGGCGCGCGGCGAGGTCGGCGACTTCGATTTCCAGTCGCATTCACATAATCCGTCGGCGTCGTCTTCTTCAAGGTGGTCAACGTGCGCGCAGAGGCGCGCGTGTTCAACGCCAGGACCAACGCGGCCGTCCTTCCCTGCGGCGTCGTCAACACCAACGAGAGCGCACAGGTGGTTGTCTCGGACCCCGATGCTCACCAGGCCGCTTCTTAAGTATAATGTTCTTATCCTTCCACACCTCGCCATGTCATCACCCCTCCCCCCCGCTTCCTCCTCCAAACAACCTTGACCACTCGGTGTTATTGGATTGTGTTGCCATCGCGTCGAGGGTGGGCGACGTGCTGAGGTCCACGCGCGCGTGGGCCCCATGCATGGGGGAGGTCGCAGTGACCGTGTTGGAGAACGTGTTTGCTGATTTTCCCGTTGTGCCCCCCCTCCGATTGAGTCGGGGCGGCCTCCGGCAGCGGCCCCCTCCAGTGGCGTCGTGTCGTTTGGAGTTGGCGGGGCGCATGCGAGGTGCAAGCGTGTGTTGAATGACTTGTGTGCCACGGGTGCCGTCTCGCAGTCCGCGGGCCCGACAGCGCTCGATCGTTGCGATTTCGAGGCGTTGCGCTTGCTGGGGAACTGCTGGGCGGCCCAGCAGGCCGTCGACGTGCTCCTTGCACCCCGTTGCAGCCTGATCCTGGACTGCATCCGCCAGAGCACTCGCGTGCACCTGGCGCGCCCGCCTCCACTTTGGCGGCGCGAGCTGCCCCGTCGTTCGCTCATGTCGTTGCCGAAGCTGCATCGCATGGCGCGGCTGCGCTAGGGCGGCTGGGCGCGCTGCGCAGCAGGGGTTGTCGTGGGCCCAGGCGGCCCCCGCGAGTAGGTGGAGAAGTTCCCCGGGCCTTTGTCGCACGTCGGCGCGCCCCGCAGTTGCGGGGCCATCTTCTCGAAGGGCGCGGGGGGGGGGTCGAGCGGCACGGGGGCGCAATCATTGCGCGTGCTTGCTGCGCCTCAGCGCCAAAGAACTCCGAGCGATGATGCAGCGATTGTCAATGGAGGACGCTGAGGACGTCTTCGAAGCTTTGCTCATGGGCGCCCCCGACGGCGAGGCGAGCGACCACGGCGCGGAGAGGGGCGACCGCAATCCACCGCGGCGCCGCCCCAGGGCGCCACGGGATGGCAGCGCTTTCGCCGGCATCATCGCACCAGCTGTTCGACAGGAGCGCGAGCACAATGTTCCTTGGTGGGGGACTGAATGGGGGCGATGCTGGGTGGCGCTCAACGGCCACAGGACCAAGGCGTGGTTCGATAACTTTGCAGGCAGGAACGGGCGTCGTCGAGCCCGGTGCAACTGCCCCACCCATGGATGCGGCGAGATACGTCAGGTGTCGCACAACAGAGATTGGCTTGCGACGGCGCTCATGCTATGGCACTTGCACGGCCCCGGCATGACAGGGATCCCTCGACATGAACACTTACAGCATTGGCCGGCTGATGACGAAGTGGAGCAGACAACGTTTGCGAATTTTTAATGCAGTGGCGACATCGGCGCCTTCGCCCTCAGCTACTTGTTCTTGCGCGCCGTCAGTGCGCACCCGCTCTCTGTCAGAGACTATATATGCGTGCGCCTTTCTGTTACCGTGGAGTATGCGAGTTCGAGCCGAAACTTGTTTTGTTCTCCTTCGCCTCCATTAATCTCTTTGCTTGCGACTCCCATCATTATGCTTCTCTTCTTCCTGGATGATGCGTGGATTCGCTATCAGACCCTGGTGGTCAGCCTGACTCTCCATGTTGCTTGGACAGATTACCTCGTCGCCCGAGTAGGTACCCTTGGTTGTCGCGGGCTGCCTCGAGGGCCCGTCGGGCCCAATCCAATTCTCACGTGGGGCTCCCGCGGTTTCATTTGAGAGTTTGGAGTCGGGTTCGGTTTGAGATTTTTGTCAGGCGCAAGCTCTAATGTTTGAGATTCGCTGCGGTCGCGTATCCAACTACTCTGAGATGTTGGGGACTTTCGTAGCATTGCGTTGCTGGGATCTCAGGTGAAATTCGGAGTCTCTGGGGGATGAGATGCCAGGGTTTGCTGCCCCGCGGGCCCGTCAGACAACCCGGTAGATATCATCGCGGGGGGGGCTCGGGGTTTGAAGGGGGGGCTCAGCGCCATGACAGGGGGGGCAGCATGAGAGACGACGAGCAGGAGGGGGGGCGAGTAGGAGGGAAGAGATGGATATGATGAGGATGCAGCCGCCTCGGCCCCAGCGTCAGTGCATCCAAATTTTGTTGGCGATCTGCTTCGCACGTCGAGGGGGCATGGCGGTTGCAGCCGCTGCCGCGAGCCCCCGAAGGCGCCTCGCTTCTCCTGCGTCTGGCAAGGGCCCCCCGTCTCCAGCGGAGGAGCCTCGCTCGGTCCTCGAGGGGAGGTTTGCTGCAGAACTCATGCAAGCTGAGAGTGCTGACAGAGCTGAGATCGCTAGAGTCCCGCCATCTTCTGCCGCGGTTTCAGTTTCATCTGACCCAGGGAATGGTTGCGGTGGCCAGCCCGCGGCCCCTGCATCTGCACCCGGGCGCCCCTTCTCACAGGGCTGCGCCTCGTCGGCCGCCAGGCAACTTCGAGAGCACCAGTTGGTTGCTGTTGGCGCTCCTCTTGCTGGAAGCGCCCCAGTCGGTCTCCGCGCGGCCGCTGCTTCGCCGCGCGAGCCCCCCCCCCAGAGCTTCTCGCATTTGCGATGCCCCATTCTTTCTACAGGTAAGTTGTTTGTGTTGTTGTTGGGGCTTCTTTGCTGAAGCTCGACCTCCCTTGCCTCCAGGTCCTGGCGCAGCTTTGCACTATGGCCGCTGGCCTGGGGGGCGCCAACCAGACCTTCATCCGCAGGGGGCGCGAGCTTCAGAAGCCCATGGCCGATAAGTCTGCCACCGAGGAGGGCGAGTGCAAGCGCGACACCGCAAGCTGCGTGTCCATCAGCGCTCGCTGCCGCGCCAGCGCGCAGCATTGGAATTGGTGGAAGGGCCAACCCGACGACAATCTAGTTTAATGGTACGTGAAGCAGCAGGCGGCCCCGAGCAATGCGAAGCGATCTTCCGACGAACTACAGCACGCCGAGGGGACTACAAGAGCTGTGGGCACGAGGGGGCGCGACCTTGACCACTACGTGCACTGGTGGATGCTCTTGGACAGGTTGAGGCCCCACAAGACCCATGAGCATATTGTGAACCAGTGGAACGAGGCGCTCAGGAATCCACGGGCCGCTTGCATCTTCAGGCGAGGCGAGTGGTGCTGCGGCATCCGGGAGGGCGCGATGATGGGGCGCGTCGGCGAGCGCAGGCAGATCGCTCGCACAGGCCGCATGGCGAATGGTCGCGATCCTGAGACACTGGCAGAGTTGCAGGGGAAGGCCGACGTGGCACTCGGTGAGACATCGCAATCTATGTCGGTTCCGCACAGCCTCCAGACTCAGGGCATCATCGGAGAACAAGCTCCCGCGGTGGCAGCGAGCTTGTCCAAGCAGCCCGCGCAGCCGACCATGCGCGACATCGTGGGGACTTTGATCCGTCGTGAGGTGGGCAGTGTATCGTGAAGCGATGCAAGGTTTAGTGCACGCGTGTTTTGCTGCACTTAGGGGTCCTTAAGTGCAGCAAACCTGCTTGCTGAACATAGGTCTCTCGGTGCAGCAACCCTTTGTTTAATTTACCTTTTAGTGCCCCATTCGGAATGGCAGCTTTTACTGGTTAAAGCGAATTTGGCGGAATGCGTGTCTTTTATGGCGTCCTGAGTGTCACGCATTCCGTCTGGTTCGAAGTTTCTTGTATCCTAGCAGGTGGCCACCCAGCAGCGCATCGACGCGCGCCGATCCCACCTCGAGAACGAGGGCGCGATGGCTGCTGGCGGCGTTCAGGCTGCTGGCGGGGGCGCTGACGGCGATGAGGCCGCCGCCGACGGTGGCGGCGCGCAGCGGGCTGCCATCGGCAAGATCAGATTCAGGGCCCGCGTCGAGGCCGGGTTCATCGACTTGGGCAAGGTCCTCGATTATTGCAAGGAGAAGGCGAGGAACGCAGAGACGGCCGTATACGCCAGCAGCGACGCGGACCTTCGCACCTGGGCGGGGGGTCATCTCATGCATAAGTGGCGAGGGGGGGGGGGTCGTTCGGGCCCCCTCGGCGGCGGCGCGCCGCCGATGGGGCTCGAGCGATTCGCTCGAAGTCGATCGGACGCCGCGTGCCCCTACGACTTGCAGGGGTGCGTTTTGTCCAGGTGCTCCTGTCGGCGAGGTGGGGACCTTACTGTCGCCCTTGAGTTCCTTATTGTGCCCTTTCTCTTGCTTCTCCTGGGGGCGCTGGAGTTTCTATGGGGTTGGCCAGGCGCGCAGTGATTCTATTGCTTTCGCGTTTGCATCGTCTAATTTCCGCCGTGCGAGAGCTCGCGCCCTTGCCTCCGACCTTACTTTCCACGCCAATGCTTTTCTCGATGCGTCGGCGCATGTCGCCTCGGAGTTCCGCGCGGCGCCACGCTGGCCCGTGCGCTGGCCTTCTCGGCGCCGAACGACGCCGCGTAGGAGCGCCCCGTCGCGCCGAGTCAGCCCGGAACGAAAGTGGGGAGAAGGCAATGGCAAGGAGAGAGAGGGTGAAAGTAAGGGCCCGACGTCTCGCGGATGCGGGGCGCGCAATTTGCGCCCATTGTGCCTGCCACCCCCGCGCGGGATAACCGCCCGCAGGGCGATGGGCAGGAGGGCATCCGAAGGGTCTTCGAAGACAGGATGAAGGAGCTTCTCGACAAGGCGACGGCCCAGGTCATCAAGTGCAGGGGTGGCATCGAGTCCTCGCGGCCCCAGGGCGCGGCCGCCACGACGGTTGCGCAGCTGAACGTGGCCAGTTTCGCGGTGACTAAGCTGCCGCGGCAGCGCAAGAAGGCTGGCTTGAAAATCAGACTCTCGGAACCTGGTCCGCTGATTGGTGCCGGGTGGTTTTCCTTTGGCGCCGGATCTATCGCTTGCGTGCTTCTATGGTAATAACGACACGTTGCCCAGCAGCGTGTCTGATTTTCATTAAAAGCACGTCGGCACTTGATCAGCCGCGGGGCTCCAGCACGCGCGATTTTCGCGTCGGCCTCCAGGGGGGCGCGAAGGCCTTGAACGTTCAGACTGCAACCGTCGAGCGCTCCATGGAGGCGATCGGGCGCCGGCGTCTTGCTGCTGAGCGCAGCGCCGTGGCTGCGGCGCCAGTGGAGATATTGTCAGGGTACACGGAGCACGTCAACATGGCCAACCCGATAGGGAACACGGGCGTCGGCTCGGCGCACGAGGCCAAGGCAGGCCCCCCCGACGTTCGTTCCAAATGTTGCGACGGTCCGCGGGGGAGAGATCGACGTGGTCGCGGAGATCTCGAAGTGCATGCCGACGAAGCAGGCCTTGAAAGCATTGCAGCACCACTTGAAGCAGAACAGCTGGGGCGCGCAGGACTTCGCCGACGATCGGAAGAAGGGCAAGCGCATCGCTAATTTGCTGGCGAAGGCCTTCGACAGCATGTGGTTTACCCAGCTTCCGTGCAGGCTCGATTCGGACTTCGGGGCCAAGGTGCACCGACCGCATTTCATGGGCATGAAGCCTTGTTTCATGGATGCGAACTTCCCGCCGTTCGGCGTCATAGAGGGGAAGCTGCCCATCCAGGGCTCGGAGATCGTCGTCGGCATTCCCCAGGATGACTTCCCCCCAGGGCGATGACCCCAGTGCCCAGCGCGACTGCTTGATGAGGGCAGCGGCTGCCGACCCCACCCAACCTCGCGGCGACGGAGGGCGTCTGCGCCGTGCGCGACAAGGAGCAGATGATCATCATTCCGTCGGGCCTCCCGTGAATCACCATCGCCGACTCGAAGGGGGGCTGCGCGGTCATCCGCTGGGGCATCGGCTCCGACGCGCGCGACGCGTTCAGGGTCAAGGCGCGCGTCGACATGATGCTAGACGTTTTTTGTCCGAGCTTCGCCAGGCCGCCTCGGGCTGCGGCGGGTTTCAGCGGTTCCCGGCCGACCTCTAGTCTCAGGGCCCCCAGCCGCGATCGAGGTCGAGGCGTGCACCTGGGGTGGCGGCGGCGGCGCGTGGCGCGCCCAGGGGCGAGGCGTGCGTTTGGGGTGACTTAGCATGGGGCTAGTGGCTCGGCGAGCGCAGGCGAGCCTATTCTGCGCGCGCGCCTGCCGCGCAGTGCCAGGATTCAGCGTTGCCGCGGGCGGCGATCGACAGAGAGGGGATCGCTCGCCAGTTTGTCGGCCTTCCTTCCATAGAAGGCGTCGCGGCATGTCGTGCGCAACATGCCTGATCGCGAAGGGCGGGGGTTGGGGGCCGAGGGCCTCCGAGGGGAGATGAGGGCGAGGGGGGCGCGAGGCAGGCGGAATGACGATCATGCCACGGCGGCGCGATGGGGCCAAAGAGAGCGACGCGGATGGCGGTGGGGGGGAGGCGGAGGAAGGGGTAGAGGGATGGGGGGGGGAGGGGGGGGGATGGCGAGGGCCCGATGTCGCCTCGCAGCGGCGCGCTGCCGAGGGCGGCGGCGGCCCTTCGCGCGGCGCCGCCCAGCGCGAGGGCCGCTTCGAAGTCGGGGATTCGTGGGAGAGGGGGGCGCCCTCCGCCCCCCCGCCCCTCCCCCCCCGCAACTCCTCCTTCCGTTTCCTCATTCCACCAGTCGCTATCGTCGTCCTCGCCCCTCCCCGGGGCAAAGCCCATTCGGCCCGGGGGCGCGTTTGCGCCTCTGGGCGGCGACCGCGTGTGACATCCATGTCGACGGCGTTCGGGCCTTAGCCAAATGCCTTCCTCGTGGCGCATAGTCCTTGCGCCGCGGGCGCCTCGGAGGGCGCGCGGCTCGGTTTCGGCGGCAGTTGTTCCGCCCTTTGTCGCGTGAGGCCGTCGCGCCATGCGCGTGCGATTCCATTTGGCCGCGCGCGCTGGGTCCGCGGGCTTCAATGCCGCAAATTCTCTGGTATGTTCCGCGCGTTGTCGCTTCCGCCGCTCTCGCCATTTTCTACTTCGCGCTGCTCTTTTGGCTCTGTCGCAGTTAGCTCAAGGCCCGACGCGGCTGACATCTGGAAGCAGGTGTTCGCTGGCACCTTCGCTGCGCATCGTAGGTGGCTTGGCGGTTCGTGAGCGTTGCTCGCGTGGCGCACGATTTCGCGCGCGAAGCGATGTTTGGCGTCGCCCGACGCCTCTACCCACATGAACGTTCACAATGATGTGCGCGGACCTTGGTTTCAAACCAGGGTGGTGTTCCCGAGCGCAATTTTGATGGTTGAACGGGCGCGATAGTCGCAGTGCGCGATGCGCTATGCGCCGCTGCGCTTGATCTGGCTTCTGGTTGACGCCGCCGCGGTGACATGGCTTATCCGGCATTGGATCGGCCTCCGTCGGCGGGCCCGCCAAGGGCAGGGCCGCCGTGGGCCGCCGCCGAAGCCGGCGCCCAGCATCTGAACTTGTTCGCCAAACGCTGGGGGCGAACGTTTTTATTTGGTCGGGGGTCTGTTGGGTGATGATGGCCGCTCTAGCGTGAGCGAGCTCCCCGCGAGCTGCGCGGTGCACGTGGGCCTGCAAAAACTGCGCGCCCACGCGCGCAGCTCAGGTTCGCTTGCTGCCGCTGTCGCAGTTGCAACTTTCGCGTGGAGATCGCGGCTGCATCGCAGGGCCCCGAGACGGCTCTAGGAGGGGCCTCAGATGAAGGGTGCGGACGGAAAACAATCGGTTTTTGATCGAAGAGGTTCCTGGGAGGCCTCCCGGGTTCCCGCGACAGCCGCTCGGATAGTTCCCAGAGGCCCACAGGGCGCCCGCAAGACGCTCCGAAACAGCTTCCGAGAGGAGCCGAACAAGGGTCAAGGCGAACTGCAAACACCCAGGAGGGATTGTCCGTGGCTCTGAGAAGGATTTTAGCCTTTTCGCCTGTCCGCTTGTCCGACGCTCCAAGATGGCACCCGAGGCCCCGTAGGCCGTCCCGCGACAGGCCAAGAGGCTACCCCTTCGAGACTCATAAGCAATCACGGTTCAAGTACGTCCACAATGGATGAAGTGAACCGCTTGGCGCTGAGGTGCCATGCGCTGAGTGCCCCAGCGCGCTGCGAGCCAGGTAGCGGGGGTGCTGCCTGCTTTCGTCACCCCTCCCGCGTGCCTACACGACACGGACACATGCTAACATGCAGTTGCTTTGGCTGCAATCTGGCGAAAAGGGGATTCGCCTGCCCGCTCGTCCGCGCGTCCGCCGGCCAGCCGGCTCTCTCCCCTCGAGTATTTGATTTCAGTTACAATTTAACGGCACATCAACACACTTCTCGCCATGACAACAAGAAGTACGTCTCCAATTCACCACTAGAACCTTAGCAAGAGAGTGTTGTAGAAAGAGCAAGAAGGAAACCAATAATATTAACAATGGCGCAGTTTGCCGATCAATTGGGGTACGAAAGGCCCCATGTCGCACGGACAATTGGCAACGTACTTCTGGCAAGGGACTGGCATGGTCTCCGCTCGCCAGCGAAAGTATTTTTTAACATTGTTTACATTGGCGGTGCCGTCTTACACAACTGCCCTACAGAACAGACCGAGCGGACTATAGTCGAGGCTGATTGGTAGGTAGACCTTGTCAAATCAACAGGTACCCTCGTGTCCTTTCTTTCGCGACCCATGCTTTCGACATTCCTATGGCAGCGTGTCCTTCGGAAAGCTCTTGTGATCTCTCGCGCCCACTCTCCGGTACACCATGACTGCATGAGAAAGCAGGAGCACTCTCCCCCACCGAGCCCCCCCGCCCCCGTCGGAGGCCAGGGGCCATGGTGAGCGCGGCCCCTCGCGGCTCCCCGGCCACCGCCGCGCTGCTGCAGGCGACGGCCGGCGCTGGCAGCGCGGTGGCCGTGGCGTTCGCGCTGCACCCGCTGGAGCTCACGAAGACCAGGAGATTTGGCCATGAGCGGCGAGCGTCGCAAAACAAAACATCAGGACGCGAGTTGTTTTGCAGTTTTCGGTTTCTGGGGGCCCCGCCGGGCCCTCGGACCATCAACGAATTATTCAGGGATGAGAAGCCCCGTCTGGGGAAGGTGTCGGGATTCCCAGGGACCAGGCGGTAGGCATTTCAAGTTCCAGGCGGCGTGGGCAAGATTCACGGCGGCGTCCCCGTCCCAGGCTTCTCGAGGCCCCCACGGATCACTTCGGTTTGGAAAAGCAGCGTGAAGTTTTGGGCACGGGCTTTGGTCGTGATTTGTATGCGGCGTTGTGTTTTGGTTGCACGACATCGACGCAAATACAATACGCATCTACACATGTATTGTTAATTTTGCATATTCGAATGTATACATAAAGCGATCACGCTCAGCGTCTCTCGTCTGCACGGCTGGATCCGTTTCAAATTTGTGGCCAAACCGCATTCCAGGAGAGGTCCGGGGAGTAGCGGTAGCGGTATTTCTCGCTTCTTTGAATCAGTGAGTGTATTGACCGTGGTCAGGTCCATTGTGGGGTCATGATCGAATTGCTGGTTTCCTGGCTTTGGCCAAAAGGGCGTGGCAACCGATCTTGGGCCCAGAATTCAATCGACCAGGGCCAGTGTAGATGGACAGTTGACGACTCCAAGGATTCAGACCGGGCAGGTGAAAGGTCCTCTCGCATGCTGGGGCCCCGAGAAGACATACAGTTCGTCACACGCAGGCGCTGCCCTCGGGCCGACAGCTGCCCACAGTCATACCCGTGAGCGCAACTGGGCGGTGCCACATGGCGTCCTATGAGTATTTCGGTCTGGAGGAAGAAGCGGCGAAGGCGCCGGTCAGTTTATGTGTGTTCCCCCCCCTCCTGTGTCGGGTGCCCATTTTGAATCCGCAGCACCGCGCGCCTCCGGGTCCACCAGCGGGTTGTTCCACGACATGTAGCGAAAAGGCGAGCTGGAGGAACATCTCCGGATACACCAGCTAGTTGTTTTACCTTGATGTTGTCGTCGTTTTCGTTCACGACCCACCCCGCGACCCAAGCGCGTCCAATCCGCGATCCTCCCCTACGACCCACCCCGCGACACGTCCCGCCCGCAACGCACCCCGCGTCCGCCCCCTCACGCTTATCCACAATTGCGGGGTGCAGATATATAATAGATGCCAACATGTATGTATGAATGAATGAATGAATGTATGTATCTATATATGTGTGAATGTATATGTCAATGTATATGTATATGTATGCGTGCATGTGTACGCAATTGTATATGTATAGGTGAATGAACATGTATATGTACGTATATGCATATGTAGATGTAGATGTAGATGTAGATGTAGATGTAGATGTAGGTGTAGATGTAGATATACATATATATATATATATATATATGCATGCGCATCCGAATTATGTATGATTGTAAAGCGGCGGCGTCCTGGTCCTCTTGGATTTTCCTAGGTTGTCCGTCCGAAGGTTTATATGGCACCACGGCGCCCCAGGAAGGCCTCCCAAAAAGGCCTCGAGACGCCCAAAAATCGCCCCAAGACGCCCACGATGGCCCCAAGACGGCCCAAGAGGCTGCCAAGACGGCCCAATAGGCCTCCAAGAGCTCCCACGAGAGGGCTTCAAGAGGCCAAAATCATGTATTTGTCATTGGGTTTTTGAAGATTTTTGGCCGTCTCGCCTTTCCTGCTTTCGGGCGCCCCAAGACCGCTTCAGAAGCCTCCAAGACCGCCCCATGACGGCTCACGAGGCCCCCAAAACGGCCCAAGAGAGCCCCAAGACGGCCTGAGAGGCGCCCAAGCGGGCCCAAGAACGCCCCAAAACGGGCCCGAGAGGGCCCAAGACGGGGACAACGAGCCAAAAGGTCAAGCTTTGAACCCCGAGAGGGGTGCAGGAGGCCTCCAGAGAACACCAAGAGGCCCCAAAGCGCCCCCAAGAGGACCCGAAGAGGCCCCCAAGAGGCCCAAAAGAGGCCCCAAGAGGCCCCCAAGAGGCTTCAAAACTTGCTCCAAGATGCCTCCGACAGGCCCACCACGAGATCGCAACCAACATCCATGAGACCTCTGAACCACTACTCAGGCACGGTGGCGGGATAGGCCGAAGGCCAATAGATCCGCCGCCCCCTGCTTGCAGGGGTGCACGGCGTGCTGGACGTTTCAGGTTTTGGTTTTGGTTCTTTTTCTAAAAGAACTCCCCAGTGGGCTTCGGCCCGTCCCGCCGGCCACCCGGAAAGGATGCCCAGGAGCTCAATTCCCCAATTTCCTGCCCCAGACGGTTCCAAGATGGCCTCCAAGATGCCTCTAAGACGGCCAGGATGGTCTCTAAGACGGCTAAGATGGCTCCAAGATGCCTCCAAGACGGCCCAAGATGCCCTCCAAGACGGCCAAGATGGCCCCAAGATGCCTCCAAGATGGCCCAAGAGGCCTCCAAGACGTTCTCCAGGAGAGCCCGAAGAGGCCAAAATCATTGGTTTTCCTTAGGTTTTTGAAGGTTTTTTGCGTTTTCTTCTTTTCGGCCTTCCGACGGCCCAAGAGGCCCCCAAGATCGCCCAAGAGGCCTCCAAGAAGGCCCTATGACGGCCCAAGGGCCCCCCAAGACGGCCCCAAGAGCGCCCCAAGACGGCCCAAGAGGCCTCCAAGACGCCCAACATGGCCTCCAAGACGGCCCTGAAGCGCCCCAAGAGGGCCCCAAGACGGCCCAGAGAGGCCCCCAAGACGGCTCCAGACGGCGTCAGACGGACCAGGAACGCCCTAAGACGGCCAAAGAGACCCCCAGGAAGCCCCCAAAGGCCCCCAAGAGGCCCAAGGAGGCCCCCAAGATGCCTCCAAGAGGCCTCGAAGAGGCCCCCAAGAAGCCCCCAACAGACCCCAAGGGTGCCCCAAGAGACTCCTAACAACCCTCATCCTCCTACTCTATTTCTTCCTCTTCCTCTTCCTGTTCATAATCATTCTCTCCCATGTGTTCCCCGAAAGCTTTCCAAACCGACTCGGGGAACTCATGGTCCGATAGCTTGGCCAAGCTCTAGTCCAACTTTCGGCCACATCGGCGTTTCCAAAAAGGCAGGGGGCGGCGGTGATTCGCCGTAGGCGTCTTCGATCCGCCGCCCCCTGTGGTCTTGCCACAGGGGTGCACGGCGTGCTGGATGTTTCAGGTTTTGGTTTTGGTTCTTTTTCTAAAAGCAGTGGGCTTCGGCCCGTCCCGCCGGCCACCCGCAAGTTTCCGAAAATCCATCTGTCAATGCCTTTGTTGCCCCAACTTGGCCCAAGATGGCCTCCAAGACGGCCAAGATGGCCCAAGATGGCCTCCAAGATGCTTCCAAGACGGCCAAGATGGCCTCCAAGACGGGTAAGATGGCTCCAAGATGCACCCAAGACGGCCAAGATGGCCTCAAGATGGTCTAAGACGGCCCAAAAGGCCCGCAAAAGGCCTCCCAGACGGCCCAAGAGGCCTCCAAGAGGTCCTCCAGGAGGGCCCGAAGAGGCCAAAATCATTGCTTTTTCACTAGGTTTTTGAAGGATTTTGGCATGTTCTTCTTTTCAGCTCTCCGACGGCCCAAGACGGCCCAAGAGGTCCCCAACATCGCCCCAACAGCACCCAGAGGCCTCCAAGATGGCCCCATGACGGCCCAAGAGGCCCCCAAGAAGGCCCCAAGAGGGCCTCAAGACGGCCCAAGAGGCCTCCAAGACGCCCAAGATGGCCTCCAAGACGGCCAAGATGGCCCAAGATGGCCTCCAAGATGCCTCCAAGACGGCCAAGATGGCCTCCAAGACGGGTAAGATGGCTCCAAGATGCACCCAAGACGATCCAAGATGGCCTCAAGATGGTCTAAGCCGGCCCAAAAGGCCGGCAAAAGGCCTCCAAGACGGCCCAAGAGCCTTCCAAGACGCCCTCCAGGAAGGCCCGAATAGGTTAAAATCATTGATTTTCAGTAGGTTTTTGAAGGATTTTGGCATGTTCTTCTTTTCAGCTCTCCGACGGCCCAAGACGGCCCATGAGGTCCCCAACATCGCCCTGTGGCAGCAGCAGGGGCAGTAGATGCTTTTCCCTTGAGCCAAACGTGTCACAACGGGTGAAATATGACAAGCTAACCATATGCTAAACCTGACGGGGAAAATCTGGAGACCAGCTACACTGGTCGGACTTTCTAGCAGGTTTAGCTTCCCCTGGTGACTCTAGGCCCCTGTGGCCTGTCACCGGCCCTCTCGCTGTGAGAGTGGCGGAAAACCCTGGGGAGCAGAAGGATAAGCACAAGGATAGGTACAGAGAATGAGACTATTGAAAGGCATAGAAATTGGCAGTGTAGGATGGAGAGGAGGAGGGAAGAAGGGAGGAACCACCACCACCACCATCACCACCGGCCTGGGTCTGGTCCTGGAGCTCCTTCCAAGAAACCCACGCTGTCTCGTCCAAGACCTTTCGTGAGGCCGCTTGGGTGCGGCTCTTCAGCTCGGGTTGAGTGCGGCGGCGTTCAACCTCTGACCCCTCGTCGATCAGCACCAGCCGGCCGCTGGTCATCAGATCGAACAGGGCGGCGTTCCCTTTAGTGATGTCGTCCTTCGTCAGGGAATCTACCGGCATGCGTCCGTGCGGGATCCAGCGGACCTTGCCCTGGGCCCTCTCGAGGGCCTCGCAGACGATCGCCAGATCGATTGCGGTGCGACGGTCACGAGCTGAAGCATTGCCCTCTTTGAGCATGGTGTCGTAGATGGACTTGGCGTCCACCACGTGCACCTGGTGCTCTCTGGAGCCCAGTCGGCAGTCGCTCCTGAGGACAGTAGTGAATGGCCCGGAGCCTCTATGATGGTCCTGGATGTCTACGTCCTGGAACACGACGTCCCGGTAGAGGATCTGGAGATACTCGACTTCGGCCACGGCCATATACAGTGCTTGGGTCTCTCCGGCCAAGGTGGACGGCACCTTGCGCCGGAGCTTGCAGCTGCGCCAGCCCAAGAGCGATGCACGCACAGACTTGTTCTCAAGGATGCTCTTGTCGGCCGCCAGGACCATCCAGGCGCCCTGGGTGGGGTCCTCAGGCAGCCCTTTGTCGTCGAGTAGGTCGTCGAACGCTCCCACCCCGCCAGCATCCGAAAACGATATAAACGCCATACGCTCGGGATCGAGCTTCCACACCGTAAGTCCCCGTGATGCTGTCGACCGAAGGTGACGCACCATCTTGTTGGCAAGGGCTACGTCACCAGTAGTGGGAGCCTTCAGACGACTCGCAAGGATACTGGCTACCCCGGCGGCCTCGGGCCGGCATTCCCGGCCGACCCAGTTGAATTTGAAGACGAGAGACCTGAGCGCCCGAAACTCGGACTGATCAAGGGGACTGTTCTTGGTGGAGAGCCGGCCTCTAGCCATCGTCAGTGGTTTGATCTCCTCCAAGATATATTTCTCCTGATCTAGAGTGGCCTTCTGGGCACTGATCACTACTCGTCTCCCAGCAAAATCCACGGCTCCGGCATGACAGTCTCGGTACTTGCCGAATCTAAAGCGTGACTCGAGTAGACTCCTAATCCAGGACCTGGTAGCCGGGGAACTGCTGCCTATGAAGAAGTCATCCACCTCAAGAAGCATCATATTTAGGATTTCCCCTTTCGGCCCGTATCGGATCCACCAGCACGGCTCCAATAGGCTCTTGGTGAAGCCGTGCTGTGACAGGAAATTGATCACCGTCCGCCTCCACGCAACTGGTGCATCGTCCAGGCCATAGACATTGACCTTTAGCAGGATCAGGGAGCCTCGGGGAAGATCGATGCCTTCGCACGGCTCGACGTACACGTGGCCCTGGGTCCTGGACATCGGGTCGCTCTGGCAGAAAGCATTTTTCACGTCCGCGATGTCAGCCAGGAGGCCGAAATTCATCAACACCTGGGTAAACATCATGATGCTCGAGGTCTGGGGCGTGGGGGCGTACACTTGCAGGGAGCCTGAGTCGGGGTCTCTGTGTCCGTGGACACACCATCTTGATTTAGCTTCCGGCTCGGCTCCCGTGCCTTCCACTGGCTTCCACCGACGCACCATCCTACTCGTGA